CATTGGCAGCAAACTCCACTTTATAAAGCCATACACTCTGCACAGGCCAAATAAACATGGGGGTGTTGCCTAACACATGAGGGTGTTCATCTCGTTCCCCAGTCCACCTCCAACAGGGGTGGGGGCAGAGGCCTGGGCCAACTCCCCCACCCTGGGCTCCAGTCAACCCCTCTCTACCAAGAAAACATGCTGCAGGGGGGCCAGAAGGGGGAGGCTCAGGGGGGAGACCCCCAAGGGGGAGGCCTCTGCAACAGCGCCCTCACCAGGCCGTGCCTGTGTCAGGTGGACTATGAGGTCACTGCTGAGGAGCTGGAGGCTTACTTCAACATCTGTGGGGAGGTCCAGCAGGTCACCATCCTGTGCAACAAGTTTTCTGGACACCCCAAAGGGTCGGTACAGGGCTGTGAGGAGGGGGCTGGGCACCCCAGGGAACTGCCCGGCATGGGTGGCCTGGGCTGGCCCTCACCAGCCCTCATTTCACCCCAGCTATGCCTACATCGAGTTTGCTACTGAGAGCTCAGCCCAGGCTGCTGTGGGGCTGGACAAGAGCATCTTCCAGGGCCAGGTCATCAAAGTGTATGAGCCCCATGAGTCACCAGGGCACCTTGAGGTGGGGGCACTGGGGTGCATGGGCTTGCTCTGAGCTTCTCTACATTAAGCCATTAACTCCTGAGGTGCCAGGAATGCAGGCAGAGGGAGGCTGACACACAGAGAGGTTGACACACTGCCCAACCTGACCCTTCTCCATCTCCCAGCATCTCTTGGCACACCTGCTGGGCAGCAGGGAAGGGGTGGAGGCACCCCAGACCCCAAAGGGTTTGTCTTGCATGTGGCACTGGGGAGGCACCCCTCCCAAACTGGATCTCACCTCATGAAGGGAGAGATGTTGGCTAAACAGGGACTCATCAAGTGGCCACAGCTGTGTCCGGACAGTTTAGAACTAAGTGGGGATCTTGAGAAAGTGGTGAACAAGATTAGGGTCTGATGCCTTGGGAGGCGCCGTGCCCGGGATGCCACGAGGGTCTGGTGGGCTCTGGGGCCTGTGCACACCACCTGTGAGCTTCCAGCAAAGAAACCCAGGAAGCCCCAAGGATCACTGGCAGCCACCAGAAGCTGGAGAGGAGCCTGGAACGGATCCTCCCTCAGAATGGCCAGAAGGACCCACTCTGCTGACACCTTGACTTGACTCTGGCCTCCAGAACGGTGAGAGTACATTGCTATTGTTTGAAGTCCCTTCCCCCTCCAGTGAAAAGGTGGGTGGAAGGTCTAAGTGTCAGGAACCGTGCCAAGGTCACCCAGCAGCTCAGGGCAGAGCCAGGCTTGGTTGAGGAATTTCTGAGCGTGGTCAGGACCATGAGCAGTGGGGCCGCAGGTGAGGCATGCCACCAGAGGTGGTTCCCGAGCTGCAGATTCTGTAGCACCTGGCAGATGACACCAGCTCCTGCCTGCTCAGCACCTTAGGCCTCAGCAGGGGGAGTCTGCGTTGGTCTTGATACCCTCATCATGCGTGTTGGCTTTTCTGTTAATGTCCTGCTGACAGTCTTCTACCCCAAGCAGTTCCTCTTTAGATGCATTTTCTTGATCCTTTCTGTGTGGCCACTTCGAGGACAGAGTGAGCCCAGGGGTCCCTCCTTTCCTGTGGACTGCAGGCCTGAGCAGGCTAAGGTGGAAGAAGGATGGAAAGCGCTCCTGGACGTGGCTGCCATGGGCTCTGAGCAGTGAGCCACTGAGCAGACTGGAGTGGCTGTGCCTGGAGAAAGCCCGGACACACGGTTTCCCTTGCCCCTGTCTGGTCTGGGCCAGAAGGACGGAAAGGGAGAGGCACTGATGCCCGAGGGAAGACTGACTGCTGGCAGTGAACTTCAGCTGAAGAAATCATCTGGAACAACAGCCAAGGGCTGACTAGGACCTGCAACCGAGAGGCTCAGCCCTGGGGTGGCAGAGGAAAGCCAGGCAGGTGGCTCTCAACAGGCCACCTCCTGTATAAAGATGCAAAAAGATAACGTGAAACTGCCATCTGACAGTTCTGCTGGCAGAACAAAGACTCGCACATTACTTCCGACCTTGGTTTCCTCACACTTAAAATGGGAATGCAACCTAACAATGTGTGTGAAAACTCCCTAATGTAGAAAGCACTTATGAGTTGGTTGGCTGTAAATACAGAAAAACCCAAATAGCAATGGCCTCAACAAGGGTTTTTCTTTTCTTTTTTTACATAAAAAATTGCTGAATGCAAGTAGCTCAGAGCTGGTATGTCAGCAAAGACCCAGGCTCCTGCTAGCTTTTTGCTCCCTGTCCTTAGGGGATGAGCTCCAGCCATCACATTCAACTTTTAGGCAGGAAGAAGGGAGATGACAAAGGACTCCATCTGTCATGTGAACCCCCCTTTGAAGTATCTTTCCTGAAAGTCACTCCCAACATCATTCACTTTCATGCCATAAAAACTACCTATCCTTGCGTGCTATGAAAGGTAGGAAATACCTTTTGTCTAGTCCAGGGGTGGGCAAACTTTTTGACTCGAGGGCCACAATGGGTTCTTAAACTGGACCGGAGGGCCGGAACAAAAGCATGGATGGAGTGTTTGTGTGAACTAATATAAATTCAAAGTAAACATCATTACATAAAAGGGTACGGTCTTTTTTTTTTTTTAGTTTTATTCATTTAAAACGGGCCGGATCCGGCCCATGGGCCGTAGTTTGCCCACGGCTGGTCTAGTCAATGGTCCTCAATAACACTGGGGATGTGAGTAAGGAAGCAAGGAAGAATGGATACTGGGTCGGCAACTTGCAATCCCTATCAGAGCCACTGCTCAGGCAGAAGAGATCACTATCAAAACCTCAACCATGGACTGCAGGGAAGAAATCCTGTGACGGGGGGGCCAAGGGTCCACTGGCATTGCAACCAACGCCTGCTTGGTACTTCTCAGCCCTACTCTAGGTTTCCCACTTCCACCAGCAGTGAGGCAGGAGAGGGGGACTGGGACATGTTTTTAACACACATTCCTAGCTGTGTTGTTTTTATTTATTTTTTTAAAATATATTTTATTGATTTTTTACAGAGAGGAAGGGAGAGGGATAGAGAGTTAGAAACATTGATGAGAGAGAAACATCCATCAGCTGCCTTCTGCACACTGTGTCTGCAACCAACGTACATGCCCTTGACTGGAATCGAACCTGGGATCCTTCAGTCTGCAGGTTGACACTCTATCCACTGAGCCAAACCGGTTTCGGCAGAAAATCTTAAACTTTGATTTTCTTTCTTTGGAAAATTATAGTGGTGATAGCCATTAGACTATTCACAGACTTCTTTCTATTTTGGGGAGTGTGCAGGAGGCAGCTGATCGATGTTTCTCTCTCATCGATGTTTCTAACTCTCTATCCCTCTCCCTTCCTCTCTATAAAAAATCAATAAAATATATTTTTTTTAAAAAGTAATCCTGTGCTTATTAGAAGGGAAGGAAATCCAAAAGGGTGCGTAGAAAAGTTCATCTCCCAGTTCCAGCCCTAGGCTCACCAATGTACAGCCCATTCCCCCAGGGATCTGAGCCACCTTCCTCCGGGTCAGAGACCCTCTCCCCAGTGACTGAGGGCGGGAGGGAAGGACTCAACGTCTGTCTTGGGGCGCTGACTCAAGAAAGCTAGCCAACACCTGTGTGCGCTGAATACAACTTGGAGCAGACTGTGCGGGTGGGGCTCAGACTGAGCAGGTCCCTGTCGCCTCTCCTACTTCACAGGACACAAAAATGGCAAAGAGCCTGGGTGCCTGACCCCAGAAGGGCCGACACGTAGCCACAGTCAACTATTAGGACTGTCCTCTGGACTTGGCTGAGCAAGCCTCTGGGGACACAGAATATAGACATCTAATTACATCAGCTCCTCCTCAAATGTAAGCCCCCCTCCCCCCGCAGGCAGTTTGCCCTCGAGCCTGAGGCGCAGCAGGGGACTCAGAGCCTAACCCCGTCCAGCCCTCAAGCCACTAGAAACACTGTGCACTAACAGATGGAAGAGGCTCCTTCATGCTCAGAAAGCAACAGCACAGGTGAGATGCTGCAGTTAGACGAAGTGGCCTAGATCTCCTAACAGCTGCCTCCCAAGGTTGGGCCAAGTCCAGACATCAGGCTGATGCAAGACCAGAAAGAGAACTTTTCCCTGTGGAGGAAGTTCTAAATCCGGCCACAGAGGCCTTATACAGCACCCCACCTGGTCAGCCACTGGAGGGCGCCACAAGAGCAGCTGATGGGACAGAGAGGCTGCCCCATGGCCAAAGCCTCTCCAGGGCTCCAAGCTCTGTGGGTTCCTACCAACCAGCTCCCACTTCCCCTTCGTGCCTGTGGGGACAACGGCTCCCTGCTATCTTGTCCCTGACCTCTGTCTGCCCCATCCCTGAAAAGTCCTGCATTAAACTCTCTCTAGTTAAACCGTCGGTTGCCCTGACCGGTTTGGCTCAGTGGACAGAGCATCAGCCTGCGGTCTGAAGGGTCCCAGGTTCGATTCCGGTCAAGGGCATGTACCTTGGTTGTGGGCACATCCCCAGTAGGGAGTGTGCAGGAGGCAGCTGATCGATGTTTCTCTCTCATCGATGTTTCTGACTCTCTATCCCTCTCCCCTCCTCTCTGTAAAAAATCAATAAAATATATTTTTTTAAAAAACCGTCAGCAGAAGGAAAACACCAAATCTGATGTCATAAGACCTTTAGTTGACATGCACCCCACCTGGCCTTGCACCCATGTGGGGTAAATGATAATAAATACACATCTACACAACACAGTTATGTACAAAACACTTCTCTTCAATCAACAGGCAGCAATCTTCTCACTCAACAGACCTGTATCATCATAGATGTCACCATGCTATCGAAGGCCCTGCAAAGAGAAACACTGCAACTGAGAAGAGACCTGGCCCTCCACCCCGCCCAGAGGCAGGCTCTGTGGCCCTGCCTGAACCCCACGCCTCTCTGGGAGTCAGTCTTTAACGTCCAGATGAGTGAACTTAGCTGAGACACCAGGACGTGTGTCCTGCCATACTTGGCAACGAGAATCTAAGTTCCTGCCTCCCGCTTCCCTCCAGGTTTCCCGAGGTCCTGCCCGCTGGATTCCCAGACAGGGTGGAGGAGCTGCAGTGTGGGCTGCAGTGCCCCGAACAGCCCAGGAGACACAGGTTCTACATAACAGCACTGGCTTCTCCCCCCTGGGGCCCAAGATGACCCAAAACACAGTATCACAGGCACCAGAGGAAGGGCCTGGCTCAGGTCACTGTAGTGTCCTCACACCTATGGGCTGCAAGAAGCACCTTGGGAAGCGTGTCTAGAAATGTATGGAATTCCCAGGAGCAGGCTTGAAGTGTGTGAATGCTTCTTTCCGAAGCAACTTCATGACATTCCAAAATTAAAAGACTATTTGAAGGCTATTTGAAGATATCTGCAATCCAATTTCCTCACCATTCAAGTTCAATATCAAAGACAAAATTAGACATTAACAGGAGGATGTTTTCCCAGAAGGCTCCTGTCCATATGCCTGAGCCCTCACTGGGTTCTGCGACGGTGCCCCAGTACCTATTGGGGGCACATGGGAAATCAAATAGGCGAGCTCTGTCCCCCAAGTCCCATCTGTTTTATATGTTGGCGATATGGGTGAGACTTTGCTTGAAAAAATAGAGTTCTGCTGCTTCAGAATTTGTGCCTTAGGAGAACAGTGTCCATTGCTTAAAAAGACCGTCAATCCCTCACTTTCAACATCATTGCCTTTTAACAAGGCAGGGCCTACAAATGAAGGTAGCAAACATGATAGTAGGCCCACCTGGACTGAATGCGGTCCCCTGGGTTATAGAAGGGGTTACACATCACATCAGTGTAGGAATTGTGCAGCTTCCGGAACATCTGCAATAAGAACCAACATTTTTAATTCACATGTACACAGGATTACTGCCATATTTTTTGCCTCTCAACATTTTTAAACAAAGGGAAAACAAACAGCCCCAGGCACAGCCTACAGACCCCCTGCACTTACACTGCGAATCTCATTATCACGAAGTGCTGTGTTGGAAGAATCCACCACCATAACAAACTTCACCTTGGAATTGGTCACGTAGCCATATCTGCACAGCTGGTTAGGGAACAAGCTGTCAACACAGGGACTCTGTGACAACATGAAACAGCCTCACTTGAGAGTGTGAAAGCAGAAGGCCATCTGTGCACGCCCCTGGCTCCAAAGCCACTTTGGAGAAACATGGCAAACCTTGCATCACAGGAAATGCCCCAGGCTGGGCCTGTCTTGCTGGGTGTGACTGGACACCTCCTTGGGGCAGCTTCTGGTGTTTACTAGAGAAGCAAAGGGCAGGCAGCTAAACCCCACCCTGATTCAAACTCCAAGGCTGTCCTGCCCAGGCCCTGCCCTCTTTATGAATCAATGCTTAGCTTGGTAGTGTTAACTGATAAACTAGAGATTTCACAAAGGACAAATCCTGCCTGCAGTGTCTACACCTCTAAAGGCCACTTCATCTCATAGAACACTGGCTCCCGGCAAGCATCACTGTGGGCAAGCTACATTACTGCTTGTGGGAACATCTTTGAACTCTGTGGGTTTCAAGCCATCTGCCCCAAAGGAGTGGTCAAGATTTTACAGTGACTTGTGGGGCTGCACCTGACAATGAAATGAGTGAACCGATCATTCCTTGCTCAGAAATGGTGGCCCCGCTGAGAAAGAAACCCTTGCAGGCATAAAGTAGGAGCTCCCCAGCTCTTCTATAAACCTGGCAAAGTCACAATTCTCTAGGTCAGTGGTTCGCAACCTTGGGTGCACATTAGAATCACCTGGGAATCTTTTTAAAATCCTGATTTCTGGGCCTCATCCTCCGGAAATTCTGTTTCTTTGTTATGGGGTGAGGCCACAACATTAGTAACAAAGAAACATAATTTCCGGAGGATGAGGCCCAGAAGTCAGGATTTTAAAAAGATTCCCAGGTGATTCTAATGTGCAGCCAAGGTTGAGATCCACTGCTCTAGGTAATTCAAGCCTGGCTTTTCCCACATTATCCTCCTAATTAAAGGAAAAAAGGGCAAAATCTCAATTAGCCTCAAGCGGCCCTAATTCCCCCTGGGCTGAAAGCCCTCACCTTTTTTCTTTTCAAGTGATGGTACAAAATGCCTTTCAAGGTTATCTGATCCTACAGTACATCACACAACTTCCGGCGGAATCCCTGGATTCCAGCCCTGTGGGGAGGAGCCCGCTGACAGGCCCCTGCTGGCAGTGAAGGATACACCTTGTAGTCCTCTGTGGGGTACAGCAGGCCCAGGTAAAGCTCCCGCTGGTCCACCAGGGCCTTCCCCATTGCAGAGATCTTCTCATCCACCACGTCCAGGGACGTGTGCACCATGTAGTGGAACTTCAGCTCATTCTCCGTGGGGACACTGCGGATGTAAAGAGGGTAATTCTGCAAGAGAGGATGAGGGCAACTGAAGTGATGCGAATCCACTCTGTGCACACCGATGATGAAAACGAGGCCAGAGCACTTAGGGTGGAGGACCAGCCAAGTGCCAACTAGCCACACGAACACACTCTCATTCTCTAGAACCCGTTAGTTAATTTTCCAGACTGTCGTGGGCACTGCCTTACATACTGCCTGCAAAGGGGCATCTCTAGGGTGGGCAGAAAAAAAAAAAAGTAAAGCTGATGTAATCAGATGTCTATATTCTGTGTCCCTTCTACTCTCTCACAAAAATGGATCTGAGCACAGTCTGACAACCTGTCACCTGGACAGGTCACTTACCTCCTCTGGGGGGCCCGGGCCCAGGGCCAGCACACGCTCTCCTCCGGGCCCCCTACTACTGGCTGTTTCCTGACACACCACCTCTTGCAACCTCTTCACCGTAGCAGAGGCACTGGCCTGCCCTCTCACTGAACTCTTCCAGGCTTGGTTCAAACCTCCCTCCATCTCTTCATATTCATTAGAGTTAACAGCATCTTGCTGGGGGCTCCCTCATGTCACAATTCCCTTGCCTGGCGCTGCCCAGATACAGTGAACACTACACCGTCCCTGCTCTGAAGGGGCTGACATTGGTGGAGGGAGTCCCCAAATCCACCAACAAATAAATAACGTGCTGTAGCTAAGAAGGAAGCCAGCGCCAGGAGCTCCGAGGCAGGAACGCCTCCTACGCCTGGTCTCATGGAGGACACAGAAGGGCCCTGTAACAGGAGCACGTGGACAGCTCCCAGCTCAGAGACAGGACTCAGACACAGCTTTCTAAGGAAGTTAGACCTGCAGCGGCCAGCGAAGGGGGTGCAAGGTGGGGAAAGGGGGCCGGGGGAGAGGCGTCCAAGCGCAAAGCCGGCGGTGAGAGGGCAGAGCAGAGCCCGTCGCGGGGCTGCCAGTAATCCCGTTGCTCTGGGGTGGAGGGCGTCACACATGGGGAGGGAGGAGGCGACCGGGTTATTCCGACAGTAGCACGGAGAAGGAACGGAGAGACTTCAGGCGGGAGCGTGGCGCCATCTGGTTTGTTTTAAAGCAGCGCTGTGACTGCTGTGTGGTGTCTCTCGTCTGAGTGGGCGCCGGCGTGTGCGGTGGAGGATGGAGAAGTGGGCGGCTGGC